ACGGGGCTCTAACAACTGGCGAAGAGTGACCCTCCGGACTCATAGGAGCATCGCCCAAACAATTGCTGGCGTTCACAGGAGAGGCGACCGACACGACGGACGACGAGGGAGGGAGCGGGGGAGGAAGGACAGGGTCACCAAAGTTGGCCTCCTCGGCCCAGGGGTCGACCTCGTCATCGTCCAAAAATCCAAAACGACACCCAGCCCACACTTCAGGATCCTCGAAGTCCTCAGCCTCAGGCGCAGACACGGGGCCAGAGCCAGAAGAATCCACAACCCCAGCACGTGTGTCATCGGGCTGGACCAAGAGGTCTGAATAAAGAGCATGGGTGCGCTCCAGCTGCTTTTCACGCGAGAGGGCCTGTTGCACGGCGCGCTTCGTACGAGCGAAAGATGACTTCGACCCCTCCGTGGCCTGCTTCTGAGGCCTCGAGACTTGCGCGAAGCGCTCGGGAAGAATGAGAGACCGAGTGATCAGCTGCTTTCTCGAGCCTCGCAACTGGAGCAAAAGTGCACAATGAGGACTCCACGGAACATCTTCGATCGCGCTGAGGCCAGCAATGTACGGCACAGCCGACGCAGAAGCGACCGCGAAATCGATGTGCGTGGATCCACTAGAACTGACACAAGTGTATTCGACAGGCGCCTGCAGCAGTGACGCCCCGAGCCGAGAGACCCACCCCGAACGCTGGAGCTCGATCGGAGACTGGTTAAAATCCCCCAGGACAACCCAGGGCAACTGCAAAGCCTGAAGCAACGATCCTAGTCTAGCGAATCGCCTTAGATTCAGACCAGAAAACTTCAACCCACATCGACTGTAAAACGTCATAATGACAATACTAAAGCCATGCAAGTGTACAACCATGGGCAGAAACCCATCTAGCATAGTCTGGCCTGACTCACAGAGTGCCCCTAGCTTGCCATGCGCTAAAGGATGAGCTTGCCTGTGCCCCTCGACCAAGAACATCTCACCCCCTTCGTTCGCTTTTGCCTGCCCCGTCGATGTCAGACACTGGCGACCAGTAGGACGAGCGGCGTTCGCATAACATCGAAGATGAGCTGCCCTGGCCTTCTACGTGATTTGGCCATCTCTGCAAGGTACCCCCCAAGACTTGTTACCTAGCATCGTGATGTTGCCGAAGAAGACTTGCGCGATATCATTGGATTGCATGTCTGATTGCGACTGTGAAACTGAATCTAGAGCCTCGACCCCAACCGAAGACAAAGAGGAAGAAACTGCCGATGTGGTCGCCCCCGTCGTCGTAACCGCAGAGCTGCCTGCAGAAGAAGACGCCGATGGAGTAGACCCAGCTACAGACGGGGAAGAGGCACTGAGAGGAGGAGCGGATGCGGGCACAGGGGCCCCTGGACCACCACTGGGGCGATCCTCCGCTCGCTCTCAAGCCTTCCCGTCCTTGGTGGGCGACGCGCCCGCCTCGCCCTTGCCAGCCGCCTTGGCCGCAGCCGTCGCCGCTGCCGCCGCCGAGCTCGCCGCTGCCAAGGTCGCCGCCGCCTTGGCTGCACGGATCCGCTCCACCTCCTGAGCGATCCTCGCCTCGGCGTCGGCATCGACTTCCGCCTTCTCGGCCGCGGGGGCACCCGGCGCTGGAGCGGGCGCCTCGGCAGGCGGGGCCGCGGCGTCACCTGCGCCGCCCTGGTGCATGGCGCCGTCCTCGCCCTTGCGCTTCTTCGCCATGCGCTCCTTCACCGATGCCTGTAACTTTTCCATCTTGGTTTTCCATGCCAAGACCTGCTCACCTCGATCGCCGATGAGGGACCGCGCCTTGATCAAATCCTCCTCGAGCTTGAGCAACTCGGCCTTCTCGCCCTCCTCGCACTCGAACTCGTCGCTGCGGAGCGAGGCGAAGAAGCCCTCGTCCCACGAGACGTCGAACTGCATCCCCTTGGAACCCGCGCTGGCCGCGGGCGCCCCAGCAGGCGCGGTGCCTCCTGAGGCAGCGGGGCCGCCACCTGCCAGCGATGCCGTGAGCCCCGCCTCCGTCGCCAGGGCACGCACCGCAATCCGCTTGGCGATCTCCGCCTCCGCCAACTGCTTGACCGTCTCCTCTTCGCGCTCCACAGCGCGCTGCAACTGCTCCTTGGCCTTCCGAACCGCGTCCGAGGCCTGGTCGTGGCGCCTGTTGGCCTGACGCCATGCGGCTTCCGCCCTCCTGTGCGCCTCTCCAGCCGAGAGCGCGGTGGAAGGCTTCGCCGTAGCCGCGGCCTGCACCTGCTGCGCCTCTGCCCGCAAAGCCGCCTTCAGGTGCGGGTTGGTCGCGACCTCCAGCGCCTTCAACAGAATATCACTCGGGGCGGCACTGGGAGTGAGCGAAAGGGACAACTCTGGGGCGCGTCCCTTCCCTGCACCGCCGCCCTTCTTGGGCTTATGCAAAACCAGCTGGACCCCGCATTTACAACGACGATCACGCTGGAGTAACAACGAATTCCACTCACACGCGCCGCACTTCTGGCACCTGGTGTACAACTCGGACTGGCCCTTGTCACCACCTTTGCCCATGGCTGGAACTGAACTGCCGTGATGAACACGAAGCCGATGAGCGTGCACCGCCAGGCGGAGGGCTGCACGGGCAGTGGCCCTGTGCCGCCGCGCGCGCCGATGCCACGCGGGCGAGCGCGATCGCAGCCGCGCGCCCGTCGCGAGGCCGCCCCAATGGGGTTGGGGGCTGAGGTACGCGGGCGGCCTCAAAGCTACCTGCGCTATTCAGCCACCTGGAGGAGGAGGAGGAGGAGGAGGAGGAGGAGGAGGAGGAGGAGGAGGAGGAGGAGGAGAGGGAGGAGGAGGAGGAGGAGGAGGAGGAGGAGGAGGAGGAGGAGGAGGAGGAGGAGGAGGAGTTGGTGTTGGTGGTTCTCGAGGCCTCGGGGCGCTTAGAGCCCTTACTGTCGACGCGTGGCTTCCTGGATGCTCGCGCAGGAGGTCCGCCAGGAGAGGGAGCACGTTCACCAAGGCCCTCCAGGGCTTCCTCCCCCATCATGCTCCTCACTGATCACCTCGGGCCCTACCCCGAGGTCTAGTACTGAGAGCAGCAGAGCCGCTGGAGCCCCCTGGCAGAACAAAAACAACCTCCCAGGGCTTCATACAGGGGACACTTCGAGGGCGCCCGGGCACTTCCTCCGGGCCTGCTGGGGGCTTCCTCGTGTCCTCCGGGGGCGTCCTGGTGCGCCTGCCTGCGGCGCTGGCGGTCTTCCTGGGGCGAAGGGCTCGAGAGGTGAGTTCGATGGGCCTGTCCGAGGGCTTTGGAATATGTTTTTTTAAGGTCCGGCGATCACCCGGGTTGTCGGGCTTGCCCCCCTCCCCCCCCTCGTCCCAGGATAATTGTACCTTGCCGGTCGTGTAGGTCCGAGGTGGGGGGGCGCGGGCATATGCAGGGCTGCCCACAGCGCGAAGGTTAGGCTATCGGCTGGCCCCGTCCCCCCCCCGGATAACCCAGGTCATCGCCGATTCCACAAAACGGTCTCCTGGGGCGCCTACTGGGCCGTCTTGGGGCCCTCCACGGCGGTTCTCTGGGGCCCTTGGGGGGGCCTGTTAGCCTCTGTTGAGCCGTCTTGGGCGCCGTGAAGATGAAGTTGCGGACGTGCTCTACGTCTGCCTGGGGCACGATTTCTGCTTCTTGGGACCCTCGTGGAGATCCTCGTGGAGCTATCCTGGTGCGTGATGCGTGTTCGAACACCCTTGGGCTGTCTTGAGGCTGCGCATGTGTCATTGAGGCGTCGTCTGCGCGTTGGAGCCCAGTTCGAGCAAGCTTAGATGGATCCTTAGGCATCCTGGAGGCAAGGAGTTCGGATCTGGAGGCTCCAGAGAGGACCCACGGGTGCGTGTCGGCGTGCTCGTGGCCCCCCAGGCACCCCTCCTCCCCCCTGTAGGCGCGATTGAGAACCCCTGGGGGAGGGAAGCCCTGGACAACTGAACACGTCCAAGATCTCCTTGATCCTCGATCCTCGATCCTCCCTCCTCCTCCTCCTCCTCCTCCTCCTTTTTCTCCTCCTCCTCCTCCTCCTCCTCCTCTTCCTCCTCCTTTTCCTCCTCCTCCTCCTCCTGCGTGGAGCCTCGCAGAGGCCCTGCAGCTGCGCTTTCATTCCACTGTCAAGGGGGACAGCTAATTCTCACACGCGCCTTGTCACGCCCGGCAAGCGGGGGTCGGCGGCTAAACGGGTTCCAGCGCACGGTGAGGCATGTTGGGCCCCCGAGTTCGAGGCCTTGTTGCCCCCCGTCGCTGCCCCCCCCATCTTTGCCACCCATCGTTGCTCCCCATCGTTTGCCGCCTATCGTGGCCCCCCGTCGTTTGCCGCCCACCGACCCCCCTCCGTCGTCGCATTCCATCGTTGTCCACAATGATCCCCCCCATTCTTTGCCCCCCGTCGTGGCCTTCTATCGTTGCCCCCCATCGTTGTCCCCCGTCGTTGACCCCCATCGTCCCATCGTTACCCCCGTCGTTGCCCCCCATCGTTACCCCCTTATCATTGCCCCCATCGTTGCCTCCCCCATCATGCCTTTCCATCGTGCCTTTCCACCGTTCCATCGCAAACGTCCGAAACTGCAATTTATCGTAGATCCCCCGCGGCGGATCCAGGCCATCTGCGAGTAGTCATGTTGCAAGTAGTAGATAGCGCTCGTCTAGCTCTCTTCTGGGCAACGCGCATTGCTCAGGGGAGTCGTGGTCGGGGCAGGACTAGTGGTCGGGGCAGGACGTCGGGTGTGGCGCGCATGTGCCCAGCTTGCCTGTCAGGGTTCGAAGAGGAGGATGTAGCAGGAGGAGGAGGAGGAGGAGAAGGTGGAGGAGGAGGGGGGACGATGAGGAGTAGGAGGAGGAGGAGGAGGAGGAGCAGACAGAGGATGAGGAGGTGGAGGAGAAAGAGGAGGGGGGGAGAAGGAGGAGAAGGAGGATGAGGGGGATGAGGAGGGGGGGAGGAGGGGGGGGGAGGAGTAGCAGAGAGGGGGAGGGGGGCGGCTGGACGTCCTGCCGCCTGCTGGGCTGGCTCAGGCACCCTTGACCTGTCGACGTGGAGCAGCGGGGGCTGTGGCGCCACCATCAGGCTGCAGGCCTGGCAGCGGTTGTTGCCGCTTCGGCTGGATGAGGGGGACGAGGAGGAGGAGGAGAAGGAGGAGGAGGAGGACGAGGAGGAGGAGGAGGAGGAGGAGAATGAGGAGGAGGAGGAGGAGGAGGAGGAGGGTGCAGGTATTGCGCGTTCCCCCCGCGGGCACACACTGACAAATGGGGCCATCCCCTGGGCACACAATTTAGCAGCACCCAGGGGTCCAGGGCTTTTTCTCGGAGTTCTTCAAGGGTAGTCGAAGTCACGATTTCGACATCCGAATGGCGCCGAGAGACAACCACTATGGCCAATACGTGTCCTAGACTGCCAATGTTGGCGCCCAAAGCGCTTCTACACGCCTCCAAGACGGCCCCGGACCCGCCAAGAACGCTTCAATAGTAACTCCAAGAGGCCTCCGAGAGGTGACAATCAATAATTTACGACATGCTTTTCGCTGATCGTAGCGTGCTCGTTTTCTTTGTCTTCAGAGCGTCAGAAATGGCCTAGGAGGCACCCAACATTACCCCACGACTGCCCAAACAAGGGGCGTCAACAGCGTTCCACTTAAAGACAAAGATGGCGCAAGAGGGCCTCAAGATGCCCCAATCTGATCCCCAGAGAGGCTCATGACTGCCCAAGACTGCCCAGGATGGGCTCAAGACCGCCACGAGACGACGCCAAGAGATGCCCAAGACGGCCCAGAGGGTCCCACTATGGCCCAAGACGGGGGCGCCAAGACAGCCCATGGGACGATCCGTAGCCATGTCGGCACAAGGGGCGCCCTGATCCGCATCCGTTCGGTGCTGTTCAGGAGCAGAGGGAAACATACATTCAGCGGTAGCCGTTCGGAGACAGGATGCCGACGCCTGGAACAATTGGGGTTGCTATCAAAGGCGGTACTGGCACCGTTTCGATTCCAGGAGATAAATTTGCCGAGATTTGTTCTCAACTTCGCACTGGCGGCATCGATGGAGCAGCCGCAGCACAAGCCTTGGAGAGTGCAGCAGAGGTCGTGGAGCTGGGCGACATGTCCACATTTGCAGATGGTGCGTTCATCCCACAATTGGGAGACGAAGTGCAGGCCCTGCCAGGCCAGCGATTCGAGGGCAAGCTGGGGGTGTACTACGAGCCCGGAGACAGGGGCCGGGTCTCTTCAACACCCTACAAGGATGACGATGGAGACGAGTGTATCAAGATCACTTGGTACAACAGTGGCATGACCAACGATGAATTGACGCAGTCGTGGATGCAGAGCATGAAAGTCACACAGAAAGCACGTCCACTTGTTCTGGGAGATGAAGTGCAGGCCTTGCCCGGCTCGCGGTTCGAAAGCAAGATTGGTGTATTTTACGAGCCTGGTGACAAAGGCCGCATCTCTTCAGGAGTGTTCAAGGACAGTGATGGAGACGAGTGCATCAAGGTCACGTGGTACAAGTCTGGGAGGACTAGCGACGAGATTGCGATGTGTTGGATGAAGAGCTTCAAACTGGTGACGAACGAGGGTATGCTTGTCGGTGATGAGCTCCTGGATGCGATGGAAGAGGCCGTGAGGGACCATAATGTGCTACCAGGTAAACCAGCCGAATTAATCAGCGGGCAGCCCAAGAGTGCAGCCATGGGCCTGTATCACTATATGCGGGTGAAGGACCCGTTCGCCGCAGACAACGCGGACAGCATAGAGCAGGAAGTGAAGGAGTTCGTTAGGAGGCTCAAGGACTATGCCGTGCTGTTGGGCTTCCTGGAGAAATCCCCAGAGGATACTGATAAGATCGAGTCCATTTATGGCGCTGAGCAGATCGCAAAGGCGAAAGATGATATCTCCTACTTCAAGACAGTAGCCCGTTTGCCCGACGACGCCACTCCGTTGGACGTCGCTGCCAAGGTTTCGGACGAGGTTCAAGGTAATATTGAGTATATATTGTACCAGCCCTGCAGCGAATTATATGTAGAAGGTCCTAATGCAATCCGAGATGCTGGCCGTGGACAGATAACCCTGGAGGATTTTATGGGGCACACCAACGTGCAGGATGCCGAGCTTACGAAAGCGCATGTGGTGGCCTTGCGATTTTACACGACTCCAGCTTACAAATATTTGAATTCCCCCTTACGGAGCACCTCCGATTTTTACGATAGAGGTAAGTCTCATCCACTTCCTAAAACGGTGGCTTATATTTCTGAGGGTATCAAGAAGCTTCGAGCCTCGTACGCCATCAAGGTCGAGGCTGGAACCGCGAAATCAAAGCTTGTCCTTTGGCGAGGGTTGAAAAACATGGCCATGCCTAAAGACTTTTTGACTAACCAGAAAGGGGGCACAGAGCTTGCCCCAATGTCGACAACGACAGACTTGACAGTGGCGACAAAGTATGCGTGCAGCGGAGAGTCCGTGCTGCTGAAGATCTCTTTGGACAATTTTATGCAGTATGGAGCAGATCTTCAGTGGCTGTCAGCATTCCCAGGTGAAGAGGAGGTGCTCTATCCACCCTTGACATATTTGCAGCCTACAACCCGCGACCCTCAAGTGATTCAGCTCAGCACTGGTCACAAGTTCACCGTCTACGAAGTCAAACCTACCATTCCCTGACCAGCAGAAGACGAATGCCATTGTCGTGGCGGTGCTGGCCACCGTCCATATTATCGACGAGCTGTGAGTGTCTTGCCGCATTTGCTGTCAGTTTCGTGCCTTCTTACATTCCAGAGGCACTGGAGGCCACGACTGGCGCTCTTTTCGATGTCGCCGTCCCCGTGCCGCTACTCCCGCTCCTACTCCGACTTTACTCTGGGTGGGGAAGAGCCAGACCGGAAACGTCCGACCGGCGTCCCCCCGCTCGAGCCAGGAGGAGGAGGAGGAGGAGCTGGAGGACGAGGAGGTGGAGGAGGAGGAGGAGGAGGAGGAGAAGGGAGGAGGGAGGAGGAGGAGGAGGAGGAGGGAGGAGGAGGAGGCGGCCGAAGACGTCCGCGAGGGTCGAACGTCTCGGGCCGCTGCTGTGCGTCGTCGCTTGCAAAACAAGTCGGCAAAAGCCGCGCAACCGAGCCCATCCTCCTGCCCAGAGCCGTGCGTCTTGCGTGCAGCTGGGAGGCGGAGGTCAAGAGTTTGGCTCGGGGGCCTCACCGCGCCCTCGGCCCGCGCGTAGCCACAGCGGTTTGGGCGCCCATCTGCCGGAAAACTCGTGGTAACACATCTGGGGGAACGCACAATGACATAAACACAAAATTCGGAGGTCCGCGCGGATATCTCGGATCGGCGCTTGACCCCCTGGCGGCGCCTCCGGCGCCGCCTCTGGCGCGCTCCGCGCGCCAGGGAGGGGTGTCCAGCGCCGATCCGCGAAATCCGCGCGGACCTCCGAGTTTTTATGTTTATGTCATTGTTCGTTTCCTGAAACCGTGCGTTTGGACGTCGTTGTTCTCACACTGCAGAGGTCAGAAGTTTGACCCCAGACATCCCGTCGTGTTTTTCACGCTGCCGGGGGGTCTGCACGCCCGCGCTGCCCGTGGCACTTTCGGCGCGCCGCGCGGCCTCTTTGCCCAGCTCGATTCCAAAAAATTGGAGCGGCCGCTCGTGCTTATGTATAGGCGTCTGCAGCGTTTCACCGCGATGCTACGTAATGAGTTCGTGTTCATCGACAATCAAGCAATGGCAAGGCGTCCTGGCTTGCCTATACGCCCAACAAACAATGGTATAAAAACCCTCTTGTGGTCTGCACGACATGTTCTTAGACCATGTCTCGCCGAGGCTGTCTTGTTTTAACACGTCGGGTTTATGGTCTAAGGACATGGCTTTCCATCTTAGAACGCTTCTGCGTTTTATGAACATTTCGTGGTAGGCCTATAGGAATGCCGCGACGGCCGGTCCCTGCTCAAGGCAGGTATTTTCGCTACCAGTGCGATGTCGTCTCACGTGGCTGATCGTGCCGAAGCATGTTGCTAACCACACTGGCGGTTGTTTGTTCCCTGCACGCGTTGCCCAAAAGCAATTGTCGGGGGACGTGGAACATTTCTGCACTCGTGGTTTGTTTGTAAACCAGTATGCGCCGTAGGGGTGTCGGTCGGTCAGTGGAAGAAGACTGGGGTGCAGATTCCAGTTTGGGCCCTTCCCAGATATGGAGGAGGAGGAGGAGGAGGGGGAGGTGAAAAGGGGGACGAGGAGGGTGAACGGAGGGCAGGTGAGGGGGGATGAGGAGTAAAGGCTGGGAGGGGAGTATTTTGAGGGGGTATGAGAGAAGACGGAGTGGAGGAGCGTCGGTGGGAGAAATGGGGGGCGGAAACATAAGCGCGCGAGAAGCGCGCGCGTGGTCGTAGTCCCTTACAATCTGACAGTCTGCGCACAGCCCTCCTCTCTCATCTGACTCCGTCTGGAAGAGAGCGGGCCATCTCCGCGTGCATGTCGTTTCTTCGCGTGCACGTTTTATTGCTCGTTTTGCAGTCCGATGTTTTTTTCGGTGCTTCAAGATGGTGCTCCCGCTGCAGCGTGGGCCTCATGTTCGGATCGGCGCGTTGCCCCCCGCGTTCAGGACGGCAGGCTCGCCCCAGCGCGGGCCGGTTTTTCTGGATCCGAGTCTTTCTTCATCGGTGTCGCCCCGCATCGTTGCCCCTCCTCCGCCTGCCCTGATCCTCCTGTTCCTCCCGCTCCTTCCACTTCAGTTCCTGTCGCTGCTGTTCGTCCTCGCCCTTTTCCTCCCGCTCATGCTCCTGCTCACCCGCCGCCTTCTTTTCCTGTGCACCCAGCTCCCTATTCCGACTGCGTATACACACGACGTGATCTTTCTGTTGGAGTTGCAGGTCGGCTATAATACGCGTCCGCGGATAGAGAAGAACGTCGGCGCAACGGGTAGGGATGGGAGGAAGGGATTTAATGTCAGATGGGGCGCGAGCGCACCCAGCTTACCTCCTCCTCCTCGCCTCCTCCGCCTCCTCAACCTCCTCCTCCTCCTCGCCTCCCCCGTGGTCCCCCTCCTTCTCCTCACCCTCCTCCTCCTCCTCCTCCTCCTTCTCCTTCTCCGCCCCCCTCCTCCCCCTCCTCCTCCGCCTCCTCCTCCTCCTCCGCGGCGGCGGCGGCGGCGGCGGCGGCGACGACGAGCCCCCCGCGCGCCGCCGCCCAGGCCTCCCGCGCGTCGACGCCGTCCGACCCCGGCCTGGGCACGCAGGGTGCGGCGGCCCCTCCCGTCTCGTTTTCTTCTTCTTTTTTAGGAGGAGGAGGAGGAGGAAGGAGGGAGGAAGAGGAGGGTGGGAGGAGGAGGAGGAGGAGGAGGAGGAGAAGGAGGAGGAGGAGGAGGAGGAGGAGAGAGGAGAGGAGGAGGAAGAGGAGGGTGGGAGGAGGAGGAGGAAGAGGGGGGGGGGGCACGGGGGAGGCGAGGAGGCGGAGGAGGCGGAGCATGAGGAGGAGGAGGAGGAGGAGGAGAGGAGGAGGATGAGGGGAAAGACAGGAGCACCAGGGAGGACGAGGAAGGGCGTGGGAGTGGAGCAGTGGAAGGAGGAGGGGAGGGTAGGAGGGATCAGCATGGGGGGGGTGCGGGATCGGGTGACCTGGAGGGGGAGTTGTCATGGCGGGGGCCATGACATCCCCCCAGATTTTGTGGCGCCCCCCTTCTTGTTTCAACGGCAGATTCGTGGCGACCCCCATCTCCCCAGATTTCGTGACAGATTTCGTGCCCCCCCCCCCCAAGGGCCGCGCACGTGCCGCTGGCCATGATTTACGCCCCCCCCCTTCCCTTCTTGGCCGCCCCCGATCTTCGGGGGCGTCCAGGCGGGGGGTGGCGGCTGTCGGTGGCGAGCCCAGGGGGGAAGCGAGAGGGGGCGGGTCTTCTCGGAAGGCTCGAAGGCCCTCGGGCTTTTCGCGGACAAGTTTTAAGTAGGGCATGTCCCTTTACAGGACGAACTATTCAAACATAGTAAAAGAATAGTCTGGGAACGATGTTCTGACTATGTGGGAGTTTTTTGATTATTTGTTTGACTACTTTTCCTTTTCCGTCCAAAATCCGCCTGTAGGAGGACATGCCTGACCTAAGACAAGTACTTCAGCTTTGATCACTAGCAAGAAGTTCGAGCACCAAGGCAGTACAGAAGCTGCAGGGTTTTCAGGTGTCGGGCCCTGGGAGGCCGATACTCGTTCGACACAGTTTCGATACTTTCCTGGGTGCTCGAACTTAGTTCTGGGTTATCGTCCGTAAGTACGATGGGAGCAACATAACCCGAAGACAGGAAATTCGCTCAGGAGGCCAGAGGGCTCTGAGAAGCCCCGCCGCCTTCTACGAGAGCCTTCTCTTTCCGTCACTTTGCCCCCCTCGCTCGCCGCCGAGACGGGGAGGGCACATCATGGCCAGGGCGCGAAGCAGGTTCTAATACCGTTGCGCTTCTGCGTCGAGTCGTGGCAACCACCACTGGCCGACCTCGGGTCCAGTCAGTTGTTCTCCGAGCTCCGCGCCGTGGGCTCCTGGAGAGGACCATGCAACTGACAGCTATTCCTCCCGCCAGTAACGTCTTCCTGGATTTCAAGGCCCCCCGGTCTTGCATCGATGCTCGGCCGCGCACGTGACCCCCCCTTGGACACCTCTTGCACCCCCCCTGTCTGCCTCCCCCTGGCGTTAAGTCGGGCCTGTCCCTCTGCAGGAGGAAGATGGAACAATAAGCAAAAAACTATGTTTGACCCTTTTTGATTTTTTCTCATTATTTCTGCGTTTCTTCTAAAGTCCGCCTGTAGGGGACATGCCCGACCTAACCCTGGCGCTCTCACGGGTGCTGGGGGGCGCTGCCGGCAGAAGGAGAGGGAGCGCAGGGCTCATGGCTGGCCCGATCCGATTCGATTCAGGCACTCCGACGATCCGATGCGTCCCGATGCTCACACTTGTCATGGCGCCAACATCGTAGAGCGGATTTCGTTCGGAAAACGATAGGGTGGGCCCAGAGTGTCCTGGAGAATTTCGTTCGGATTTCGACGTGAATTTCGTGCGGATTTTCGTTTGGCCTGGGAATTCAGACTACCAAACATCCACGCGACAATCATTTCGTTTTTCACTTGCCGTTTCGGGGTTTAGCATTGGCAGAATCCACGCAACAAATCGCAGCAGCACATCTGCAAGGTCGGTGCAGTGACATTTGCGCATCCTGACGCAGCCGATCCGATCCGATGTATCAATGATCTGGTCCCGAGGCTGTTGTTGTTCTCATGGGGGGCTCACTCGTCACTGCGGCCAGATTCGCCTCCCGAGGACAGGTCCCTGGAGGTGCCAGGACGCCCCGCCAGGTGGAGCAGACAGGTCAGGTCATGGTCAGGCTTGTATGCTCAGGGAGTGGCGGCCACTCAGGGCAACGTCGGGGAAACGTAACTCTGGAGTAACCTGGAACTCGGGTTTGCCGACGTTTTTTGACGAGCGCGTCCCGGATTTTGACTGTCTGGATTTCGGTTTTCGTGGGATTTGTGCAGCGGGAGTTCGCGTCAAATTTCAGATTGGGTCTCGTCATTTTCATGATGGCCCGGTCAGGCCAACCCGAGTCCCCCGTACCCGAGTCTTGCGTCTCCCCGAACATCTTATTAAGCAGTCACGTTTCCACGGGATCCTCTGCCACGTTCGCCCAGGAAGCGGCAAGAGTTTTTCTGATTTTGTCGGCCTCCAGGGGCCGTCGATGGGCCCGTGGGCTGTCAGACAGCGACCTGGGAGGACAAGCGGGGCCAACGGAATGGGTCGGGAGCAAAGGGGGCCAGCCGCTTGAAATAAATTGTGGTCGTCGGAGGTCGTCGTGGAGCGGAGGGAGGGGGGGAATAATGGAGGAGAAGGGGTGGGGGGTATTGTTGTGCGTGAAGGGAAGGGGAGGGCACGGGGAGGGGGAGGGGGAGGATAAGGAGGAGGAAGAGGAGGAGGAGGAGGACCAGTGTAAACCCAACAACGCATCAACGATGTTGCAATACCCCCCGCCAAGTGCCCTCTTCGTAGGCCCCTTATCGAATTGATTCTAACACAGCCATCTGAGAATCCCTAATCGTGCCAAAACGCAGTCCCTGGGGTTTCTGCGCCGATCAACGTGACTGTTGCGTCCTGACGGTCCTAAATCGTGCCAGAACGCTAGTCTTCGAAGTAAACCCTACGATTCCTCGAAATTGTTGTAAGATTCTATCGGCTTACGCCACATCCGCCGACCCCTTGAATTAGTCCGCTCTCCCATACCAGGCTATCGTTGCATTCCTGTCGGATTCTGGGAATCATCGCGGGTGCGGGAGGTTCCCCGAATGTCACGGGATCGCCCACGTTCGGGGGAGGTTCCTGGAAAGCCTGTGCGGCGCGAGTGTTCCTCAAACAGCCCTAGCTTTGGGGATCGTTTTCTTATTCCTTGTTTTGCAGATCGGCGCGGGCCCTCCCGCCCCTCCCCCTCCCCACCCCAAATAAAGTAAATCTTGGCTATTTTGGGCGCCTGTTTCGAGCAGGAGGAGCCTCCCCCATATGACGCACTGCTGCAACCAGTCGCACTGAGCAGAGGTCTGGAGCCAGACCCCCCCCCTCCCTTCCCCCCTCTTCCGCCAAGCGTCGACACGCCGAGTAAGAAAATGCTCACTATGGGGTTCTTACTTGCGTGAAGCAGCTCGGCGTGGAACGCGCCCGTCGCCTCCGTTGCCGCGCGTCGCCGCCCGTCGCCGTCGCCGCCCGTCGCCGCCCGCGGCCGCCCGTCGCCGCCCGCGGCCGCCCGTCGCCGCCCGTCGCCGCCCGTCGCCGCGGAACCCGCCCGTCGGCCGCCCCTGCCACCTGACGCCGCCCGTCGCCGCTGGCCGCACAGAGTGCGCCGCAGAGGTTGCACCGCACAGATTGCGCCGCGTAGATTGCACCGCGTGTGTTATTCCAAGCATTTTCTTTGGGTGGTTTTCGAGGCTCGAATCTACAAAAGGTGAATCACAAGACGGATTGATTTTCGAGGTGCAAGAGTCCGCATGGATTTCACCTTGAGCTCTGCACCCAAATCATATTTTCAGTTATTGCACCGTATAGATTGCGCCGCGTAGATGGCACCGCACAGAGTGCGTAGCACAGACTGCACCGCGGAAATTGCACCGCAGCGGCTGCATTCCATACGTGGAATCGATCAGTTAGCTTCGCATAGATTGCACCGCGTAGATAGCAACGCGTAGATTGCGTCGCACAGGGTGCGCAGCATAGATTGCACCACGTAGATAGCACTGCATAGACTGCATTACATGGGTTGCATCACATGCATTGCACCACATGTATTGCACCGCCTAGACGGCAAGAACTTATTGTTTGGGCTACACGCTGACCAATATGCGTTTTTTCACGAGGGAGCTTGCTCCCCAGCAATCCTGGGAACCTCCTCGGGTGTCATTCTGGGTTTTTGTTTTTCGGGCCGACGGCACACGCGCGCGTTCTAATCTTTCTTCTCATGCCACTTCCTGCAAACTTAGCAGTTCTGTACTCCGACAACTGGATGCTTGAAACTCTTGGTTGCCAAGTGTGCATCGCGACAATGGTGTAGAAGAAGCTGCGCAGTTGCAGAAGCCTCATTAGGGTCCTCGCAAAGGGGGCTCTCGGATTTTTGCTCTTTCTGCCTCATTCTGGGAGGTTCGGGCTAATGCTGGCTAGTTCTGGAACATCTTGGCTGTGTCTAGCTACTTTTCGCACAGTGCAGCTCCTGCTGGCTACTTGTGGTGACATCTGGTTAATCCTGGCACCGTAAGCTCCGTTCTGGCTCTTGCTGGCTATTTCTGGTTACTTCTGGCTATGTGTGGCGACGTCTGGCTACTGCTGCATACACCTGGAGCATTCTCATACATGCTGGCTACTTTTTGGCGAATTCGGCTTACTTCTGGAAAAGTATACCTGCCTCTGGTAATTTTTGTTTACTCTTGGGCCGTCTGGCTCACTGTCAAAGTATGGTTTCTTGTGGCTGCTGTTGTGAATTCCTGTTTCGTTCGCGCTCAGTTTGGTTAGTTCCTGGCCAGTTCTGGTGACCTCCGGCTCACGCTAGATATTTCTAGACACTTCTGAGAAATGCGGGCGTCTTCCAGCTACTATTCGTTGACCCTGGCCACTTCTGGTTCATTCTGGCTACTACTCATTACTTCTGGCTCATTCTGGCTACTTCTCACTATTCCTCGCTAATCTGCGGCCTCGGCGGCGCGAATCATTAGTTTTTCACGGGGGGTCGTGGCTTCGGCGCCGCGGATCTGTCGTGCGTGTGCGTGCACCACTGGCGCGGTGCGACGCCGGCTTCGCTCCGAGGGCACTCTTGCCACTCTACGTGCGCCACGGGTTGCACCTTTGCGATGGGCCTGTTTTCCACCACCACCACCACCACCATAAGTTGGAGGGGGAGGGGGTCCTTCTCCTCCTCCTCCCCCTCCACCTCCTCCTCATCGTCCTCCTCGTCCTCCACCTCCTTCCCCCCTCCACTTGGGCCCATCCCTTGGGCCTCGGGGAGATCCCTTGTCGACAGAGTTGGACGCAGCTCGGCCGACGGATGAGCTCGCGCGACGTGGGCTGTCCAGGGGGGCCCGGGCACATCGGAGTCGGGGCGAGCGGCAGGGCGCCTTGGTCTCAGCGCCGTCGTCCGAGGTGCCTCGTCTGGCTGTCCTCGGAGGAGGAGGGGGAGGAGGAGGAGGAGGATGGGGAGAAGGAGGAGGAGGAGGAAGAAAAGGCGGAGGAGGAGGAGGAGGAGGAGGTGGAGGAGGAGAAGGAGGACGGGGAGGAGCGGGAGGAGGAGGGGGAGGAGGAGGAGGAGGAGGAGGAGGAGAGGAGGAGGAGGAGGGGAGGAGGACGGGGAGGACGAGGGGGAGGAGGAAGGAGGAAATGGCGGAGAAGGAGGGGACGCCTTGGCAGGCCGCCCCCCCCCCCCTCTGGAGACGCCGCGAAGGCCGCCCGCCGTCCGCCGCCCTCGAGCCCCTGGAGAGCACGGGCGAGGAGCGCGGCGGGAGCCCCCGGGCCCTCCCCCCTCCATCTCCCCCTCCGCCTCCTCATCCTCCTCCTCCTCGTCCCCCTCCAACTCCTCGTCCTCGTCCTCTTCTTCCTCCGCCTCCTCCTGCTTCTCCTCCTCTCCTCCTCTCCTCCTCTCGCCTCCTCTCTCCTCCTCCTCCTCTCCTCCTCCTCCTCCCCTCCTCCTCCTCCTCCTCCTCCTCCTCCTCCTCCTCCTCTTCTCCTCCTCCCCCTCCTCCTCTCCTCTCCTCCTCCTCCTCCTCCTCCTCTCCTCCTCCTCCTCTCCTTCTCTTCTCCCCTTCCTCCCTTTTACCCTATATAGGCCTCCTAGATGCGGTCCGAATACATGGGGTCGGAGGATCGCGATGCATCGCCGATGCATCGCCGATGCGGCTCGATGTGGTTTCCGAGTTTCTCCACGCCGGCGTCGCCAGTGCAGCACCGACGTCGACGTTGCATTGCCGATGCATCGGCGATGCATCGGCGATGCATTGGCGATGCGGCGCGATCCTCCGACCCCATCTACTCGGACCCCATCTAGGAGACCTCTGCTTCTCATATCCTGCTGACGGGGCTGCGCCACCCTCGAGATCAACTCGAGGAGCGTTCGCCCCAGTCAGCCCCGTTGTCCCTGACTAGTCTAGCCTGCCTTGTCAGAGATGGCCCTAGGTGCTCGCGTGTCGGATCTAAAGGTCCAGTGTTAGTTGCCCCGTGCTAAGAGGGATCCCCTTTTCCCTCTTCCGTAGCCATTAGGCTTGCAGGGCACTCTGTATGTGTACATGCTGTGCCACACGTGTGTACTGAAAAGAGCTGCCCCTCTACCGTGATCACATTACAGTTGTTGTATGCCTGCAGACCCCTCTGACGGCCCCGTGGACGGAGGGGAAGGGTCTAACAATGGTAAGCGGAGCGTTGGTGGTGCTGAGTCCACGGAAGGGGCAAGATCTTTCTCAGTCCATATGCGAGATGGCGAGACACAGACTGCAGGCTATGACGACAACCAGCAACAACAATGGAGCTGGGGTTCAGAAGGGTGGAGCGCGTGGTGGAATAGTCCGTGGTGGGGAAGCTCTTGGACCGGGTCCGATTCCAGGGAGGAATGGTGGGAAAAGTCTAAAGAGGCAGTGAACAGGGACTATAGCGCACCCCCGCAGTTCTTAGGACTGGAGAATCTTCAGATGTACAACACCAATTTGACAGCATGGGCCAACCGCGCAGCATACAAGCCGCAGCAGCGGGCAAATAGGGTGCTGGAAACGTTTCCGATCGAATTGCAGGCTCGTTTCAAACCAGTGTTGCCAGATTTGGACAAAGAGGAAGGTTTGAACTCTCTCCTGGAACACCTGGGAGTACTGAACGGTGAGCGTCCGGGAGACGTGCAGAGAGATGCGACAAACAAAGCTTCGTTCGACTACTTTATTCATCGGAATGAGAGCATAACGGATTTCGTGTTGAGGAGAGACGCACAAATAGCGGAGGCAGAAAGGCATGGATTGACACTACCGGACTCCGTACTTTCGAAATATTACGAGGAGGGCGCCCAGTTATCAGCACAAGATAGAATAAATCTTCGCACTCTGGCCAATGGAGCCGAAGACAGCAAGTCTATCCGACAGGCGCTACTCAAGTTGGACATAAAAGAGAAGTCAGTACTACCGACCCCCGCCGCAACGACCTCCCGAAATTTCGTGACAAGTGAGGAGTGCGAAGTTTGTGAACAGTCGGGGCCAGAAAATGATGAAGAGTGGGTAACTTACGTTGTCTATGATGATGTAGATTTCCCAGAGGACGAGGTAGATCAGGTATTCGCAGCTTTTGACCATCAAAATATGACGGAATCTGAGATTGTGTACGTGTTCGGTGCAATAGTGGGCGACAAACTCGGAGCAGAGAAGAAGAGAACTTGGCAAGAATCACGCAAACTCAAACAAGCAAGAAAGGTGGACAGAGATTTCTTTGATCGAAAGCGCCGAGATGACAGCCGACCTCCAAAAGCAGGATATAGGCGAGTATCCATCAAAGAGTTGAAGCGACGATCCAGGTGTGCTAACTGTGGGCAGAAGGGGCATTGGAAAGACGAATGCCGCAATCCATACAAACCCAGACCCGAGAAAAGAGATGATGATCGCAAGGACAACCGAGGCAAGGATGGAGGTAAGCCGCCCAGCTACTACTTCGACTTGTCCGGCGAAGGTGACAGCAATTTCTCGCGGCCATCGATGTTGGAGCTTGTGACGGAGAAGCTCGAGCAGATTAGGGTGTCGGATTTCGTGGGCATTTCTCTCTCAGACCTGGGCCCCAGCGCCTTGGTAGACACTGGAGCCGGACAGGCTCTCATCGGCAAGCCAGATTTATAACGGATGATCTCTGCATTTCGAGAGCGAGGCTTCGATATTCCAGTCATATGGGAAGCTATTGACAGGACAGCGGCGGGCATCGGCGGAAAGGTGCAGCCGATCGGGAGAGCCTTCGTGCCAGTCAGCATCTACCAGTGTGGCGTGATAGAATTTCTGGTACTGCCCACGCCCTGCCCGCCTTTACTGCCGGCCAGGTGGCTGGATTTTATCAGGGCCCACGTGTGCATGCCCGAAAACGTTCTGAGGATCAGCGGCCAGGATGTGGAGATCCCACTGCATCGGCATCCGGCAGGTCATCGCTCAGTCAATCTTATCCAGGTTCCCCCGGAGAAGTTCAAGATAGACCAGGCGGTGATAGATCAGCTGCCCGGCTCCATCTTCTGGGACGGCCAGGCCGGCTCAGATCAGGACCGGAGAGGGGGCAGGGTAGTGAGAGTCAAATCCTCTTCTAGTTTTAGGACCGAGGGGACAGCGGTGTACAGTGTACATAGAGAGGAGGATGAGGAGGACGAAGAAGAGGCTGAAGATCAGGAGGAAGAGGAGAAGGCGTCAGGGCCCAGGAAGATCCGGCCAGGAGCCCGAAAGCTGAAGACAGGCCAGGAATCGTTCTCCTCGACTAAGGCAACTAGGGCAGAAAGCCGCGAGTTCGGCCTCGGCAGTGCCAGTCATTCCATTGCGACTCTTCCGCAGCACATTTCATCCCAAGCTTTCTCAGCCGACATTCTGGAGAAGTCTGGCGAACAGGCAGATCATCCCCATGGTCAAGTTCTACAACAAGGTGCAGAAGCCCTCGCGGATTTCGCATCTACGTCGTCAGCTTCAGAGGGCATCCGGAGCGGTGGACGCCGAGGTCACGGAGGACGACGAGGAGATGCCCATCGACACGGAGACCGAGACGAGCCTCGATTTCACCCTCGAGGAGATGACCTCGACGGAGAAGGAGTGGCTCTACAGTGGCGAGATGGACTTCCCCGTGCAGGTGAAGCGCTGGCGGCGCATTGCGCTCCGATTGATCACCTTCACCGCCCAGGTGCGTCTGAGCTTGGCTATGGCAGAGCTGATCCCGATGGCCTTCAAGGAGGAGCACGATCCGGTCGAGCTGTGCCAGCATCCTGCGTGGGCGAGGCGATCGGGGAGCAACTCCACGAGCGTGTGCACTCACTGTTCGCGCTGCGGTCTGAGGCTGTCTCTTCGGGACAAGACTCCAGAAGAAAAGGCCGAAGCTCAGGAGCGCAAGACCCTGAAGGAGAAGAAGAAGATCAAGAGCATCATCGAGCAGGTCAAGAAGGAGATGCCGTTCGAGCCGCCTCCCTCTCACATCAATGCGAGAGCCAGCAGCTCAGCAGCGGGGGCGTCTTCGAAGGCCACGGCGATCAAGACGGCGGCCGCCCCGAGCAAGCCGCCGCCCAAGCCTCCGCCGATGGCCAAGGGCGGAGATCGCCCCGTGCTGATCAAGAGGGTCCCCACGCACCCGGGCGACCCCTGGCGGCCAGACCAGCCGATCACTCGGAGCGAGTTCAACGCCGAGATGAGCAACCTCATGACGAGGGTCGAGACCGTCATTCAGGCGGGAGTATCCCAGATGGCGTCGGCAGCGTGGACCATCCCGGAGCACCCGAGGGAGGGCGAGGAGCAGCCGGAGGAGTTCGGCTGAGATCCCCCTCTGGCGCCCGACGATCGCAGCCGCGATCTTCCATAGTGCCGGCATGGACCCTGTCACAGGAGGCTCGGAGGAAAGCCTCCCAACGTTTGGAAAGCGAGCTGACTTTGGCCTCAACGGCTAGGAGGGCGTCTGTCAGCATCAGGAGAAAAGCTCAGGACACGTCCGAGGTTTTCTGTTTGGGCCCGATTCTTCATCTCGACAGCGGTGCGGAGGCCACTCCAGAACAAATTACCCAGTTGGGGAGTTGGAAGAGTCGAGACCTGCGTCCAGAGGAAGTCAGAAGCTTTTGGGTAGGAGTTGCCCTGAGAAAGCTAGGAGACGAGTTCCCGTCGGGCCTGCTGCCCAGAAGGCTTAGGAGGATCAGGATTTCAGGCCCAGGAGGGCTGGTCAAAGACAAAGTTTGGTCCCCTTCAGTTCTCCAAGACTTCGCCTCCGAGGATCCCGAGGGCGGTACTCAGATCACCGTGTGGGAAGAGGAGGAGGAGGACAGCAAAGCAACAGGACAGGAGGAGGACAGAGAAGCAGCAGATCAGAACGACGACAGCTTCCCAGGACCAGGAAGGGCCGAAAGCTCAGGAGTTCGAAAAGACGTCGACGATTACTGGGTAGAGTTTAAGGTTCAGGATTGTCTAGCTGCGCTGGCCTCAGACGCTCCCGCCTGCCCTTCGCTACCCAGGAAAGGAAGACAGGAGATTCTAAGGTTGCTGGAGGGAGGAGGAGTGAAAGCTTGAAGGAGGACGAGAGCTAAGGTTCTGAAGAAAGCTCTCGAAGAAAAAGGCGTGACGTCGTTCATGGAAGTTTTCTCGGTTCCCAGGGTTGCCACGGAACTCAGGAAGCGTGGAATTCCCCCTGGCCCCTCCCTGGATATACTCACGGGGTACGATCTCCTGATGAAGTCCGGAGAAGCAGTCTTGTGGGACACGATCGAGAGGCTGCAGCCCCAGTTTATCATGATGTCTTCGAGTTGC